ACTCCATGACATGCTGGTCAGTCACAGGAGCACGTTCAGTGAGAGACTGAGATTACCGAAAAGCACCACTGAACGACACAGGAAATCTTTCCTGCCTGTGGCCATCTCCCTGTACAACGCATCCACTTAACACACTGGTTACTGCTACAACTACACGTTTCTTTACCAGCTATTTATTTATGAGTGACTTATGTATGTATATATTGTACTATTCTTAGTTAGCGTATTGTCTGTCTTGTCTTAATGTTGGTGTATAATGGAGCACTGTAACAAAAAATAATTTCCCCCAGGGATCAATAAAGTATTCTGATTCTGATTCTGATACTCTGTTTGTGTCGGGGGACCCGATTCTTGGGGTGGACCAGTGGGGTGGATTTCATTGTCAATTTTGAAATGTAGGTGGATAGAGGGAGGTGAGTAGCTTGAATAAAGCGATATTGATTCACTAAATCCTGAATCGACTTTTAAATATACAGCCCTGATCTAGAAATAAAATTCAACACACTGAAGGACACAGCCATGAGAGGAGAATGCAACAGAACAGAGGGAGACACAGGGTGTGTCCCAATTCAGGGTCTGCATCCTTGGAGTGTCATGGTTGCTAGGCAACCCGAGCAGCGTGACGGAGGCTAGACCGTCCCATTTCACAAGCCACGCACTTCCGGCCTTCTCAGTCTTCGAGGACGCGGCCCACATGAACCGCGAAGGCTGCGTCCTCAGAAGGATGTAGCCCCTGAATTGGGACACAATTCGTGAGAATTGAAACTAGGACAGACTAGACGCCAAGACAAAAGGAACATACATGAAAGCAAAAAGGGAATAAGAATAAAAATTAAACTGAGATGCAGTAAAATACAAAACTAAAGGCTGACTAATACAGAACTAGAATAAGAAAATCCAAAAGAATGAATCACAACACTGCACTTTGTTGGTGCCTTGGGTGTGCCTGGCCAGGCATGTTTAGTGAGATTCCCTCACATGCGAGTGTAAAGCACCATTTCAGTTGCATTGAAACGTCATAGTTGAGTAACTGGTGGCACTCCTTGTAGGTTTCCTGTCTTTAGCTATATTGACAATTTTGTTGAGCTGTATTTTAACTAGAGCAATGTAGCGGCTGTGAATCTTGTTCTTTTAAGCATATCTTGGTAATAAATTGTTTTAATTAAAGGTTTGGTATTGCAAGCCCTTTATTTGCTGTTTTCTTCCTGCAGCTCTAAATTATTTTCAGTTATTTTGTTTAATAAATTTTTTTATGAAACATCAGCCTTGTTAATAACGAACCTGTGTGCTTTTTTAACTGTTAAAACTTTTGCACTGGCTAATGTAATATTTCCTGGGGTGTAACTCCACTCCGGTCTTTTTATTCCACTTACAATATGTTTACAGAACTATTGTTATATTTGCTGCAATTTCTGTTGTCCTCTCGGCCAGATTACTCTTAAAGAAGAAATTTTTAATGTCAACAAGATTTTTTTTCACTGGATAAATAAAGGATATATAAAAGTCACTGCTAAAAACTGATTGCAGCTTCTACCATGTGACAGGAATGTTGTTTGTGGCTCAAGATGACTCGATATCATTCACGAGGGATACATTTGACACATATTTCACATATTAAAGACCAACAAGTGATTTATAGCAGTTAAAAAAGAGCAATCAGTTTTTGGCTCAACACCAGCTCTCCTTCACCACACCACGCAAACACAAAATAAATTGAATCTTCAGTTTAGAACAGATGACTTATAGTTATGTGAAGTTGTTACCTACAAACTGCTCTATTTAAATAACTCACTGCATCAAACACACATTAACAGGCTTCTACATATACCACAGACGGCTTCAACACTATGATAAAATCTTCTGTTTTTAGATGTTCTGGGCCGACTGTAAAGCTAATTACAGTCTACCCAGTTATTGAAACGACCAGAAGGAAACCCGAACGAAAGGTCAAAGCAGCACGTCTGTAATGTTGCCGAGAGAAGCAGTATCAGACCCGCTGTAAGCGATCAGCACCAAACTTCCTGTAATGTATCGTAAAATTAGCGTTTACAGTAAAAAAGACGATTATGGCAGAAGTAATGCTAAGATCGTAACAAATTATAGTTACATAGATATCAAACGGCGCAGCTCGATTCTCAACAAAGTGGCCAATAGGTTGGCCAATAGGTTAGCCAATAGGCTTCTGCAGCTCCAGCCTATAAACACACCTGTTTACTACCAGGTCAAAAAATTAAACGTACGACACAAAATAAAACATACCAGGAATCGCTGGAGAGAAGGATTCAGAAGAAACGATCCGAAGGTGTTCTCTACAAAAATATGAGGAGCAACAAAATATGGTCAATTCAGACAGCAGGGACACGTGACTCCTACCTGTGACAGCTGGGAAGGTCAGGTGATCAGAAATCCCGGTTTGATCTGGATGCGCAGAGCAACAGTTGAGCGATGGAGGAATGCTCAGATGGCACCTAATATTTATTAATCCACATTAATGTTTTTGTACTAATGACTAATGGTGTCAAGCCAGCCTGCACTTTGTTTTACGTTCTCTGTGTATTCTGAGTATTATGGCAAAAGACGAGGAAACCTGATTTCAAAATAAAAGCTAACTTCGAGTAAATTAAGAGCACGTTCCCAAATATCAATTAGTCTTGTTTGCACACTCTAATGTTGGATACAAATGACATACTCTCTCTCTCTCTCTCTCTCTCTC